TGCGAGATCCAAAATATTTTTTTTAGCCAACGAGCCAATAATATTTTATCTTATCATTTATATAATTGAGAATTAGACAATTGAATATTTAAATGCAGCAAGCAATACAATAATTGTATTGGCCATGCGCTGCAATACAATAGTGGATTGTTTTTATCCGGAAAATTGCTAAAAAAAAATCCCATACCCTAACGACAGCTCCCCGCACCACCACCAATACGCCTGCAACCACACCAGCAGCTCCTGCGACTACACGCTCAGGATGACCACGTTTCAGCGTGACAAAAAATGTCGGCTAGATCTAGGTAGCACAAGTCCGGTCCATCGCAGCCGTACATTTCACAAATTCATAAATGGCGACAAGAGCTGGTGAAATCCCTTTGTAACTCGATAAACATACTGTATTCCAGGCCTCGATAAAACATACTGACAATTGTACGCTATGTCTATCCGGATTCGGATAAGAGCAGATCAGTGTCCGACTCGTACTACTGTAGTAAGTTTTACACATATCTGGCCAGACAGCCTTGCAACTTCCTCTAACCTGTCTTCTTCCTCAAGCCTGAAATTCATCATGGATAGTGCCAATTCGTCCGCGGCGTTCACTTTTCTTCGGGGGATCTTGTAATGGATGCAGCCCTTCGCCTCGATAATGAAGTTCATAACACTGCGTCGTGTCATGAACGCCTTCTCCACAGTCACAGCGGAAATCAGCTTGAAAGAGCACTGGACAGCAGCAAGGAGTTCTTCTATTGTTTGGCATTCCAGGGTCTGCTGGAGGACTTGAATCGAGTTGAAAAAGCCCAGATCAAGGACGTTGAGATCCGGCGACTGCGCCAGTTGGTTTCAATACGAATGTCCCAGCCACCGTGTAGACCAGCAGCCACAAACTCAGTATCGCCCGATGGAATGTGGGGGCGAACGTTATCGTGTTAGATATTTAACCTAGCGGTATTGTACATGGGCGCTTGGATATTTGGCAATACCGGTAGGGGTGGCAGCTGAGATGTACTACTGTAGTATCTTGATTTTTTGTATACTCTTATCCGTATATAATATCCGCAGGCAGGTGGGACCTTTAACCTCCCACTGCAGAGATAAAACGCAATGATATCGGTATTTAACGTATTTGATTTTGGGTTTAACTACATTAATTGAACGTTAAATAATAAAACCTCCATACTTCGACGATTTGGCTAGATGAAGTGCACCATAGCGAATACAGAGTACTCAACCCATTACGTGACAAACCTCAACAGTTGGCGTTGCAGTTGTCCTCAGGAGTTCCTTGCGTGTAAGCGCCTCATCCGCATGTTTAAGATTGAGCATTCACCTATTTACACTTTGAATGACCCTATTTCATGCATCTTTACTTGAAGTGATTCTGATCCCAAATCATTGATTTGGCACGATGAACATCGTGATTATGTCAATATTTGTACACGATTTTATCGAAGGAATTTGGCGGATAAGGTGACTTAGCGAGGGATGACTTTTGGCGATCGAGTAGTAGTCTTGCGCC